TGAGTGCCTGCACCCAGGGCCAGGGAGCACCACTGACCCCTCACCAGCTGCCACCCACGCTACACCACCGTCTGCTGGCCGCGGCCAGAGGGAGCTTGGCCACCATGGAATTTCCAGGCCAGGCCTGTGAGGGAGCTGGCCTGGGGGAAGGCAGAGCTTGGCTCTGACTGGGTAAGGCCTGAGACTTCACCTGCCGGGGATGTGGGGTCAGCCTGCGGGAGCCTCTGGCCCTCTCCAGAAGGAGAAGGGCTCCTTGCTGGGGCCTCTGCTGGGGCCTCTTCTCACTCCACGTCACAGCCTCATCCCCGAAATACAGCCAGAACCCAGGCAGTAGGCACGGAACCCTCCCTGCCTCTGGGCGACCTCACCTGGCCCATACTCCCTGCATCATGCTCCCCGCCCCCTCCGGTCTAACTTCACCCTGGTGAGGTCTGGCCAAGGGGGCTGCTGGGTTCCCATGGATGGGGGTCAGCTCAGGCAGCTGGACTTGCACTGGGCGGTGGCTGTGGGTAGTCAGCTCCCACATGGCTCCAAGGCTGGGGTTGGGCCTGGGGTGTTCCAAGCTGGCCTCTCTGGAGGCTCTTGAACCCCAGTTTCAGGGACATGACCCAGGGTGAAAGGGTTACGGGGACCCTTCTCCCCCTGAGTGCTGGCATGCGGGAGGGGCCTGCAAGCGCTCCTGGAGGACTGCGTAGGAGCGCCCCCTGGTGGCCACCAGAGAGCCGGGTGCTGGGGCTCCTGCACAGGGAAAATCCGCCCTCGCCCAGGCCAGTGCCACTCATGGCCCCATGTGTGCCCTTTTCCACACCACTCTGGACAGGTGGCCTGAGTCCTGCCAATCCTGCAGGACAGGGTGTGCGAAGGCACCTGGGCATGGGAGTCGGGCAGAGAGCAGAGGGGTAGGAGTGCCCAGGGCGCAGACCCACCCATCCCCACTTCCGCGTGGGGAAACTAAGGCTGGGCAAGGGAAAGTAACTCCTGCCACTTCACGGCAGGCTGGCTGCAGGAATCCTCATTCAGGGCCCAGGGAATGGGAGTGCTCTGTGCCCAGTGCCGCCTGGAGGCAGGAGGGAATGCCACCTCCCCCACCACTCCCACCCCTGAAAGTCAGGAAACCAGGGCTGCGGCCACCAAATTCCAGGATGGAAGGAGGAGGCGGTTCTGTCGGGGTCAGGGAAGACTTCGCAAAGCAGCGGCGGGTATAGGGACAACGGAGCAGCATGGGTGAGGCTGTGTGCGCGCCCTGGGCAAAGGCCCAGAAGTGGAAACCGACCTGCAGGATCCAGAGAGGGCCAGGCTGCCTGTGTGGCTGCCGTGGGGCCTGGGAGCTGGCAGGACTCCAGACCAAGCCCAAGGACAGTCACAGCTGCTAGCCCATCACTGCCCTCTGCCCTGCTCCTCCAAGGGTCCCTAGCTCAGTCTCCCAGCCTCCAGGCTGCTTCGCTGTGACCCTGCTGGACAACTTCTCAACAGTCCTGGACACAACCTGACCCCAGCCCCAGCCAAGACCCTGTCAGGCATCATCAGCCCCACATAGGGCCTGCAACCCTGTAGGTGTGGACAGCACAGCTGGCCAGATGGGGGCCGGCAGCCCTGCCTTGTGTCCCTAGTGCCCCTGAAGGAGGAGCTCCCTCTGCCGGAGCCCCAAGCTCAGAATCTGCAGGGAGATGTCTTAGGCACAGGATTGAGGGGTAGGGCCCCAAGGCACAGATGTTGAGGTTCGGCCAGCACCCAGGGGTGGGGCACTGACCCTGTCATGGGGTGCATGGCTGACTCTCCTGGCCCATCACCAGGATGCAATTTTCTCTATGCCTTAAAAATGGAAATGCTAAAAGCAGTCAAAGCACAAAGTCCAGACAGAGGGCAGCTCTCAGGGAGACTGCAAAAGCGACCGACGAGGTCCTCTGACAAGGGATCCTTCCTCCACCTGCTCTGAACATCTACTCTCCTCACCATCCAGTCGGGCCTGAGCTCCCACCAGAAAGGAAGGAGCATTATTTGGTCAGGTCAGGGGGGCCCACGAGCCTCCCTTCATGCCCAGTTTGGGCAGCCAGATCCCACAGACAGCTCGAGGGGCAGCCCCAGCCGCCCACCCCACTGGGAGCCCCCAACTCAGGAGCAGCTAGCTTTGGTTTGCAAGAGTCCTCTCTCTGGTCCTGCCGTCCAAGCCGGACTGGGAGGGTTGCTGGGGTCCTCCTCCTGGAAGTGCATTCTCAGACACTGGTCTCATTGATTTTTCTCTATTTTCTTTTTCTACCGCACTTTTTATTTTTATTTTTTTAATTTTTGCTTTTATTTTTGCTATTTTCTTTATTTTGCTTACCTTGGGTTTGATTTGCTCTTTTTGTTCTAGTTTCTGAGGGTGAACATTTAGGTAGTTTTTTTGGAGAACTTCCTTCCCTTCTAAAAGAAGTTTTACTTCTTTTTTTCTTCTAAAAGAAGCATTAGTGCAAAATTTCCCTCCAGGGCCCACTTCAGCTGCATCCTTTGACTTTGATGAATTGTGTTTGCATTTTCATTCAGTTGGACATATTTTCTGATTTCCTTTTTGGTTTCTCCTTTGACCTATAAGTTGTCTAGAAATATGTTGTTACTCAGTTTCTAAATATTTGATGATCTTGTAGATATATTTCTGTTATTGATTTCTAATTTAGCTCCACTGCAGTCCACGCAAATAATTTGTATGATTTTAATCCTCATAAATTTACTGAGATTTGTTCTATGGCGCAGAATACAGTATGCCTTGGAGGACATTATCGGTAAACAAAGGTGTGTTTGTCTTCTGTGAGGTGGAGTGTCCTGTAAACATCAGTTGGCCGTGTTGGCTGGTAATTTGGTCCACATCTGCTTCCTTACAGACTTTTTGTCTATCTTTATCATTTCTTGAAAGAGGAGTGTTGAAATCTCTGTTGTTGTGGATTTTCTTTTTCTTCTTTCAGTTCTATCAGATGTTGTTGGTGTTTTGCTTTGTGTATTTTGAAGCTTAATTGTTAGATGCATACATATTCAGAATTGCTAAGTCCTCTTCATGAACCGATCAGTTTGTCATTTGGTAATGTCCCTCTTTTTAAATGTTTTCTTTCTTTCCGGTAGAGACAGTGTTTTGCTGTTTTGCCCAAGCGGTCTCAAACTCCTGGCCTCAAGCAATCCTCCCACCTTAGCCTCCCAAAGTGCTGGGATTACAGGTGAGAGCCACCACACCAGGCCGGTAATGTTCCCTCTTTGATTATAGTCTTTGCTTTAAACCTACTTTGATATTGACGTAGTCATGCCTGCTTTCTTTTAATTGGTGTTAGCATAGTATATCTTTCTCCATCTTTTTATTTGTATCTTAATTGTGTTTTTATGTCTGGTGAGTTTCTTGCTGACAGCATATACTTGGCTGTTTCTCTTTTTATCCAATCTGACAACCTCTGTTTTTAACTGAAATGTTTTTGTTTGTTTCTGAGGCAGAGTCTCACTCACTCTGTCACCCAGGCTGGAGTGCAGTGGCACCATCTCAGCTCACTGCAACCTCCGCCTCCCACGTTCAAGCGATTCTCCTGCCTCAGCCTCCCAAGCAGCTGGGATTACAGGCATCCACCACCATGCCCAGCTAATTTTTGTATTTTTTAGTAGAGAGGGAGTTTCACCATGTTGGCCAGGCTGGTCTGGAACTCCTGACTTCAAGCGATCCACCTGCCTCAGCCTCTCAAAAGGTTGGGAAGACAGGTTAGGATTACAGGTGTGGGCCACCGTGCTCGGTCTAATTGAAGTGTTTAGATGACATAGTGTCATTATTGCTGTGGCTGGGTTTAAATATATGTCATCTTGCTATTTGTTTTCTATTTCCTTTCTCCCCTTCTGCAGTCTGTGTAACATGTGTTTTTATAAATAATTCTGTATCATCACCTTTGTTGATTTATCAACTAGAGTGCTTTGACTTTTGCTTTTTTTTTTTTTTCTTTTTTTAGTAACTCTTTAGTGTCTTAGTATGCACCTTTGACTTACTAGTCTGACTTCAAGAAATAGGAGACCACTTCACATGCAGTAGAACAGATCTACAACAGCGAACTTCCATTGTCCCTCTCCTGGTCTTCTTGTATTACTTTTTTTTTTTTTTTTTTTAATTTGACACAGGGTCTTGCTCTATCACCCAGGCTTCAGTGCAGTAGTGTGATCACAGCTCACTGCAACCTCCACCTCCTGGGTTCAAGTGATTCTCCCACCTCAGCCTCCTGGGTGCAACCACAGGTGTGCACCACCACGCCCAGCTAATTTTTTGTATGTTTTTAGGGACGAGGTGTCTCTACGTTGCCCAGCCACGCCTGGTCTAGAACTCCTGGGCTCAAGCGATCCACTTGCCTCAGCCTCCCAAAGTGCTGGGATGACAGGTGTGAGCCGTGGTGCCCAGCCTGTACTACTGTTATCATACAACTTACTTCTACATTTGCTACAAATTCCTTAATACATTGTTATTATTTTTGCTTTAGGAAATCAACTACCTTTCAAAAATAAGAAAAAAAAATTACCTTCTATTTCCTATTTCTGGTGTCCTTTATTCCTTTATGTAGATCAGTATTTCTGCCTGAAGAACTTCCTTTAACACAAAGGTCCCCAACCTCCGGGTCATTAGGAACCACGCCACAAAGCAGGAGGCGAGCGGCTGGCGGGCGGGCAAGGGAAGTTTCATCGTATTAATTCGTCGTGGTCTGAGGCTGAAGCCTGCGACACCCTCCGGTTCTGACCTATGCGTTTCTTTCACGCCTCTTATCCACCGGAGTGTGAGCTCCATGGCGTGGGAATATTCTGGAACGTCGGCTGGTTTTACTCTCTGCCCTCTCCCCAGCTCCTGGCACAGGAGGGCGCGCATTACCTGTCGGCAAACAGAACCACCAACTGGCCTAGTTTGTTGGGGACCGAAGGATTTCCTGGAACCAGAGCCCGCTTGCCCAGAAGGCATGGGGTATTCTGTACCTCAGGCCCACAAAAATGTTTTAAAGAAAAAAATGAGCTTTAGGGTCGAAGAAAAGGTTTTATTTTTCTTTCTCACATTGGAAAAAAAATGAAAACTTTCGCACTCATGAAATTTTATTACATTTTGCCAAAAACAGAACCAATAATGTAAGTATTTAAAGTTATGTAAAGACAATTATTTAATGTTAACATTATGATGGTGAGAGGGACCACGGAGCACGGGGCTGCCTTGCAGGCCTGCCTTCCAGCTTTGCTCGGGGGGGACCAGAAACGGGGGCGGAGCGCGGGGGAGGCAGGCGGAGGCCATGGGCAGCGAAGCGGGCGCGCCAAAGGGCACCAAAGGGCGCCAGTTCCGGAACTGCTGGGACTGGGCTGGAGGAGCGCGGAGCTGGGGCGGCACCGCTGGTGCCAGCCCACGAACGACGCGGTGGGGGCGAGTGGGCGGAGGCGGCTGCGGGGAAGGCTGGGCTGCGGCGGGAGCCGGTGAGGACAGCCTGCGGAGTGCCCGGGCGGAACACGTGGGTCTGAGGGTCGCTAGGGAGTCCCTGCGTGGCTGCCCGTGTCGGCGATCCAGATGCCTGGGCTGGCCTCGGGGTCCCAGCGCTGGCCCGGCGAGCCGACGGTCCGGGGGGCGGGGCCGGGGCGGGGCCTGCGGTGAGCTCGGCTCGGCGGGTGCCCAGGAGGCGGGGCCGGGCCGGGGCGGGGCCTGCGGTGAGCTCGGCTCGGCGGGTGCCCAGGAGGCGGGGCCGGGCCGGGGCGGGGCCTGCGGTGAGCTCGGCTCGGCGGGTGCCCAGGAGGCGGGGCCGGGCCGGGGCGGGGCCTGCGGTGAACTCGGCTCGGCGGGTGCCCAGGAGGCGGGGCCGGGGCGCGGCCGGGGCGGGGCCTGCGGTGAACTCGCGTTGGGCGGGCCGTTCCGGGGGCGGGACTGGGCTGGGCCTGCGGTGAGCATCCAGCGATGCGGCAGGGGTGCTGCGGGACACACAGACACGCGTACAGTTAGACCGAGGCAGGCACCTACCGGCGAGCGGCCGCGGGTGACTCCCAGGCGCGGCGGTACCTCAAGGTGGTGAAGGTCACAGGTGAGGTCACCCTGAGAGTCCCGCTCGCGCCAAGAGCCCTCCCCTCCACCCGGGACCGCAGTGTTTGGGGCGGGGCTCTCAGAGAGGGGGAGGGAAGCTCGCAGCCGCAGGTCTGGCCTCACCCAGGCCTTTGGCATCCTAGGGTTGGCCTGGGCAAATGTGTCCTGAGAGACGGATTTGTCGTTCTCAGGAAGGCGTAAGTTTAATTTAGCTCATCCCTGCTGGGGAGCTTCTGCGGTGGCCGAGGACTCAGACAACCCTAACCAGGGCTCTGGAGGTTTTCCTGGAAGAGGGGACCCCAAATAGGGACACCCCAGAGCAGAGGGGAGGGGAACAGCGAGAAGAGACCCAGCCCTTGGGCCCAGTTCTGCCGTGGCCAGCCATCCGGCCCCCAGGGCCCTGCGTGGGATGAGGTTGCAGACCACCTCCAGAGGACCTCTGTACCAACCACCCCCTGGTAAAATCCTTGTTTAGGCCTGGTATTTAAGGCCCCTCTGCCCACCCCCACTCCTCTAGCACTGCCCCTCATCCTCCCCCCATCTCTCCTCCCTCCAGCGCTACAGGCTGTTTTGAGCTTTTGCAGGCGCTGGTCTCTGATTGAAATGTCCCGATCTCTTCTCCCTTCTTGTCCCCTCCCAAGTGTCTCCTCCTCCAGGACCCTTCCCTGACACCCACTGAGTTGGGTGGCTCCTCTGCCCACTGTCATCCCTGCCCAGGCCCCCCATGGGTCCTTCAGGCCCAGCACTGACCACCTGTCTTTGCCACCTGCTGTGCAGGGCTGCAGCACTCCCAGTAGACCAGGAGCTCCAGGAGGCAGGGCCGGCCCCACGTCCTCTGTGCGCCACCCTGAGTTGGATCCTCTGTGCGCCACCCCTGAGTTGGATCCAGGGCTAGCTGCTGTTCTCCTCCCCACTCTCACGCTGCCCTCCTGCCTGCAGCCATGACGCCCCTGCTCACCCTGTTCCTGGTGGTCCTCATGGGCTTACCTCTGGGTAAGATGGACAAAGGACAGAGGGATGGACAGACCCACGTTGAGGGAAGGTGGGCTGAAAGCAGGGAAGGAGACCAGAATTCCCAGCGACCACCCCTCTTTCTAGCCCCCTGCCCTGGGGAAGGTGATGGGCTGGGGACCTGATGGGCTGGAGGAGGGGCCTCTCATGTTCTGCGACCCCCGTTCCCTTCCCACCCATCTGCCAGCCCCAGTCCAGGCCTTGGACTGCCATGTGTGTGCCTACAACGGAGACAACTGCTTCAACCCCATGCGCTGCCCGGCTATGGTTGCCTACTGCATGACTACGCGCACCTGTGAGTCTGGGGGCCCTGCGTGGCCCTGCCTGGGGAGGATGAGGGGGAGGTTCTGCCCTGCCCCTGAGCATGTGGAGGTCCTGAGGAAGGAGGCTCTCCTGTCCCCGGATGCTGTCTAGGAGCTCTAAGCTGAGGGGCCCTGCCCTGATGGCCTTGGATGCTGGTGTGGGGCTGGCTGGGCCCCCTGCCCCTCTTAGCGGAGCTGGCTCACTGCCCTGCCCCTCTGCAGATTACACCCCCACCAGGATGAAGGTCAGTAAGTCCTGCGTGCCCAGCTGCTTCGAGACTGTGTACGATGGCTACTCCAAGCACGCGTCCACCACCTCCTGTTGCCAGTATGACCTCTGCAACAGCGCCAGCCTTGCCATCCCGGCCACCCTCGCCCTGGCCCCCGTCCTCCTGGCCACCCTCTGGGGTCTGCTCTAAAGCCCCTGAGGCAGACCCACTCAAGAACAAAGCTCTCGAGACACACTGCTGCACCCTGGCACCCAGTTCACCCTGCCTCACTCTCCACCCTCCCTGCGACCTCCTCAGCCGTGCCCAGGGCTGGGACTGTGGGCAAGAAGACACCTGATACCCCCCAACCACCACGCGACCTCACTTCGAGGCCTTGACCTTCCGATGCTCTGTGGGATCCAAAAGGGCTGGGGGCACTGGCACAGTGCTGTTTATGGGGAGGGGCCCAGTCAGGAAGGGAGCACTGATCAGATGGGAGCTGTGGCCAAGTCCACCTTCTGGGAAGCCCTAGGAGAGGCCCCTGCCTCAGCCTGCCCCGGGTGTGCTGGGGCACGGGGAAACGAGGACCTCCCCCAGGTGGGGTGGTTGGGGGGACTCTTAGGAGGAAAGGCTCTTCCAGGCCTAGGAAGGCTGTCACACTTCCTACTGAGGCCAGGAGCTGCCAGGGCTGGTGCGGGATCAGGGCTGTGGGAGGAAGGCCTTCGGCACTGGCCCCTGTGCTAGGAAGGCTGCCAGGCCTGCATTGGAGCCACCCCCTGCAAGGGAGGGGTGGCCATGCCTCAGCAGGCCCCAGTGCCCCCGAAGCTGTAGAAGCTTTTCCGGGTCCAGCAAAGGGTCTGTGTCCTCTCAGTCAAACTCCTTGACATTTCCCACCCCCCCATGGGTAGGGCGCTGGGCCTGAGGCTGGCAGGACCTAGGGCCTTGCTATATTTGGTGGGTCCTGGTTGCTGACCTGGCCAGCGCTATTCCGGGCAGGGAGGGAAAGGGGCAGGGCAGGTGGCCCGCTGAGGCCTGGTCCCCAACCACAGCGGGACCTGGCTGAGCAAGGCAAAGGACACGGGATTGGGGGATGCGCCCACAGGCTGGAAGTTGGGAGCAGCCTGGGGCAGTGCGGGGGCAGGGGTGGGGAGGGCGAGGGCTGGAGGATGAGACCCAGCCCCTCCCCACCAGCAGGATGCACACAGTGAGTGGGTGCCTCCATCACCTTCCACCTGGGACTGCGTCCATGGGGAGGACAGGGTGGAAGCTCCAGGTGGGTATGAGGACTCCCAGGGACCCCACCCCAGGCCTGTGAAGCAGGGTTCAGCCCAACACCCACCAATTCGTCCCAGATGCAGGTAGCCCTGGGAGCATCTGCCCCCGCTGCAAATGGAGCCATTGGGGGCATGAGACCTTTTGGTGCCAGCAGTCACGCTGCACCTGAGGCCCCCACCTGACCAGTGCTCCCAGCTCTGGTGTCCTTGGAGGAGCCCTTCAAGCCATCCCGCATGGGCAGGATGGTGACACGTCCATGCAGTGGGACTGCCCTGGCCCCAAAGTGTGGCCCTGGTCAGGGGAGCCCCTGCTGGGAACTGCATCTCCAGAGCTTTGATGCAGGACCCCTGGGGGCTCGGGGAGTGAGAGGCTCCACCCCAGGGTCTCCTTGCAGTGAGTCTATGTGCAGGCCTGCCTTCTGCTCCTGGGGCTGGGGCTGATGGTCCAGCCTCAGTCTCCTGAGGACAGGAGGGGTCAGAACCTTGCTTAGGGCACACCCAGCTCCTGTTGGAGAAGGGAAGTGCCGGTCTCCTGCGAAGGGGCGTTGGGTGGGAATGGGCCCGGAGTGGGAGGAACGTGACTCCCCAGAGGGAAGATAGGCCTCATACTGGGCCAACAGCTGGGAAGGGGTTGCTGCAGCACAGAGTGGGCCTGGACTCCCCTCGCCCCTACCCCCAGTGGTTGTGGCTGTAGCACTGAGCCTGGAGAGCGGGCCCGGCCCGGGGTGGCTGGGAGGCTGCCAGGTGCCTCCCAGAGCTCCCAAGGGCCCCCACCTGCAAGTGCCAGCCTCAGGGCAGTGCCCAGAGGAGGCCCTCTCAGCTGCAGCCAGCGAGGCCTTGGGATGCTCCCTGGGAGGGAGGCGGCTTTGGGCTCCTAAGTCTGTGGGAGAGGCTGGGAGCAGTCACTGCGCGCCTTGCGCAAGCCCATTGTCGGTCGGGTGGTTTCCTCAGCTGGGCTGGGAGGGGCTCCAGGATCAGGTCCTCCCTGTCTTGCTTCTCAGTGGGGTGATGGGGAGGAGACCTGGCCACCCAGCGCTCAGGGGCAGCTGAGAACAAGGACCTGCTGGAGCTGGAAGTGCCGTGGTGTTGAGGGGTGGGGTGGGCAGCTTCTCACACCTGCCTCCTGCCTCCACCTGTCTACCATTCCCCCACCCTGACTTGTCCCAGCCCAATGCTGACAGCACTGCCCCCAGCCCCATACATGGTTCTGCCTGGCTGGCCTGCCCTTGGTACCTGGCATAGAACACACAGAAGGCACTCGGCTGGGGGCCGCTCATGGCCAGGCCCGCTCATGGGGAGTGCACGGCTGTGCAGCACCAGGGAACCGGGACAGCAGCGCCGGCAGAAATCACAGCGGTAAACTTGTCCCCGTTGTAAGCATCAAGGTGGCAACGGACATGGGTCCCCCCACTGCACTGTGGCCCTGAGCACTGTATAGCAGCCCTGCAATGGGAGCCATTATCTTGTCCCTTTGACAGAGGAGGAAACTGAGGCACAGGGAGGTGAAGTAGCTGCCCCCAGTAGTGCCTCCTCGCTTACTCACCACCCCCTGTACCACAGTGCAGCCGCTTCTCCCACCAGCTGGGGTTCCTTGGACCCCCAAGCCTGGGAAGGGGGAGGTGAGTTTACAAAGTGGAGAACTTAAAAGGAGAAAAGCGGAACCAGAGGTCTGAGAAGCCCTGAGTGGTAGAGTAAGGCCTCCAGCGCTGCCTCTGGGTGCAGGGCAGAGTGGCAAAGTGAAGGGGGAGAGGCACAGGGCACCATGGGGGCCCAATTCCTACTTCGGGGATCTCGGTGATAGAGCCAAGGGTCCCCTTCGTGGGGGTAGATGCCCAGGGCTAGCCGTTCCCACTGTCTGTGTGGACCTGAGTCCTGGACATGCCCGAGTGACTCAGGAGCGGCTGCTTGGGCGGGCTCGGGCACCCCAGGATGTTATACATTCTGGGAACTGGACAGGAGCGGCTGCTTGGGCGGGCTCTGGCATCCTAGGAACATTCTGGGAACTGGAATCAGCCACTAAAGAAATTGTAGCTGTAGGCGGTGACCCTGGGAGTGGGACCTGGGGACATGGCTGGGTCAGCATGGGGACACCTGGCTCCAGCAGGGGCTCTGGTCTGTCCTGGGGTCTTTGGGGCCAGGGCTGCGGCCCTGGGCAGGCTTCCTCCAGGCGGAGGTCCTGGGGCAGCCGGCCTGGCTCCCCCACTGTGTCATCTCCCATGAAGGCGATTTGGTTTATAATTCTGAAACTCTGAAAGAGGTCGAAAGAAGCAGAGAGGCCCTCGGTGGATATGCCGAGCTTTTCTGCTGGTGCTTTGTCCCACTACTCTGGGTGGCCTGTGCTCCTCTTCGAGCCTCGGTTCGCGGGGAGGGCCTGAATCTGCCAGCTCCTCTCAGGATCTCCTTCTCTCCGGGCCCTCCCCAGCCTTAAGGAGCCTCCCAGACAGAAGGGTGGACAGAACCACCTGGGCAGCCCGAGAGACACGCGGGAGTCCTCCTGTGGACAGCCCTGCCAGCTTCCGCCCAGCCCCAAGCTTCATTTGCATCTTGAGGAGTAAGGGGTGGTGAAATGGGAATGCTGGTCTGGCTCAGCTGGTCGTGGGCATAAGTGCCGGCTGGATGGATGGCATCTCTTCCTCCTGTCTTATGTCCTGGGGTCCAGGTGCTTCCCAGCGCCATGCCCCTGCTGCTATTGCTTGCCCTAACCCTCACCCTAACCAGGACATGGACTTCCACCCGCAGGCCACTCTCTCCCTGGCCCACCATGTACCCAGCACCCAGGAGAGCTCCAGTGTTGTTTCACCAAGCCATGAATAAATCAACAGATTCACGTTGTTTGTGCTTCTCTCCAGCCCCACTGCCTTGGCCTGAGCTCAGGCCTCACCTTTCCAGCCTGGCTGGGCTGGCACTCCGGGCTCCATGCAGCCACACTCCTGTCTACCCTACCTGGTCCAGGCCCTGGGCTTTTCTTGCCTCCAGGCCTGACCTGTCCTTGGAGCCAGGCACAGGGAGGGAGACAGGCAGGGCTCCTGGGGCTTGCTGAGAATTGCCCCCAGTTCCGTGGGAGAGAGGCCAGCACCCCCGAGGGGCAGACAAGCCCCTGGGGAAGGCTGGGGGTGCAGAGTAAGGGAGGCGGGAACCCCCTAGGACCCCATCCCACCATCTCTGATTTCTCAAGCTATCTGGTTCCTGACCCCAGCTTCTCAACTGCCCCAGGAAGGAGGACCTGCATCTGCCAGCCCCTCTCTCAGGATCTCCCTCCTCCTGGGCCCACCTCCCAGCCATAAGGAGCCCCCTAGACAGAGGGGTGGACAGAAGCCATGTGGGCAGCCCAAGAGACGCACAGAGGTCCCCAGGTTGGCAAGGCTAACTGGTTACAGACAGGTCCTTTGGGGCCCCAGCCCCTCACCAGCCTTTGGAGGAACAGCCGATGGCTCCCGCTCTCCAGGGTGTCCTTTCTGGGCTCTTACCTTATCCTTGGGGCCCCTTTTAGTGCCAAGGGCCTTTCTGTCCCCCGACTCCTGTGCACAGATCCTGGAGCATCAGTCACAGCGTGACAATGGCCGTGGTTCCTTGTTGGGATGACAGACGACGGAGAGGCGGCTCACAGCCATGCTCCCTCTGCGCTCTCCCAGCCCTGGGGGGTCAGGATGGGAAAGTTCTGACTTCTTTGGAGGAGGTCTTGTCATCGAACTCACTCTAGGGTGGGAGTACGGGTGAAGACCTCTGGCTTACACCCAGCCCTGAGCTTCATGTGCATTTTGAGGTGTAAGGGGTGGGCTGGGTGCTGGTGCCTGAGGCCCTCCCTCCTTCCCACCAGACCTTCCTTCCCAGCCGCTGAGGGAGACCGGCCTGTGGCCGTCGCCTGCCTGTTGCCAGGCCATTTTATGGGATCCTCAGTCCCGTCAACCAGGGCTATCCTGCTTTACCGACAAGAAGAGATGGCTCCTGAGATTACACAGGCCCGCCTGGAGGCCTAACCAGCAAGCTTTGGGGCCAGGTTGGCCCCTATCGCCTGGACCCCAGCCCAGCTCCTTGGCTGAGCCCAGCTGCCCGGTGACTCAGACCCACAGAGTCTGCTGAGCGGGCGAGGGCCAGGGCGGGGTGCCAGCAGGTATAAGGCAGCCGGCCAGGGCGCTGAAAGCCCGACCTCACCAGGAGAACATGCAGTTCCACACTGGGCTCCTGCTGGCCGCCGTCCTGAGCCTACAGCTGGGTGAGTCCAGGGGCTGGGGCCACCTCCTGCTCAGGGCCCCCATCGCTCTAGCCCAACCGCTGTCCCTCCAGCCCTGGGCCGTGACTACCCACCTCAGGAGAACCCATTCCTGTCCCCCACCATCTGCCAGGTGCAGCTTTTCCTCTGAAAGCCTCCTGCAATCCTGCAGGCCCATCCAGCTCAGCCCCAGCCCACACACTGACCCCCACACTGACCCCCCAACTTCTCAGGGCGCACAGCCCTTGGCTCAAACCCCCTCTTCCTCTCCCCAATCCCCAGACCTCTCCAATCCATAGTGACGCTCCTCACACACGCACCTTTGTGTACGCGCATACACACACTCTGAATTTGCACCCCCCCGCCCTCTTGGGCCTGGCCTCCCAACTGGCTTGTCTCCTGAGGCCACCCTCCCTGGACTCCCTCCTCCCTCTTGCCTGGGAAAACCAAGTCCCTCTGCTCTCCCATCCCCAGTCCCTGCGCCCAGGTCCTCTCCTCTGCTCCCTGCTTCCCTGGGTGATTTTACCCACTGCCCATCCCCCAATCCTCACGCCCCCCTACAGTGCCCACGTCTGCTACAGCTGGTCCTGTCCCCCCAGCTTCAGGCCCCTTGGCCCAGGGCCTTCCTGAGGGCTCCAAGGGTATGACTCCTCTAGCACAGCCATGCACACCTGGCCTTGGCATCCCCCAGCAGAGCCCGAGCATCTTCTCTTGGCAGGGCATCTCCACTCCCATCCCGAGACCTGAACAAAACCAACTGGCCCCTTGATCGGCCGGCCACCCCCACCTCCAAGCCCAAGCAGCCCAGCCCCCCAGGGGCCAAGCCTCTGCGTCCCTGGCTGTGGGTTGGATGACCTGGGTATCCCCTGCCTCCCAGGCCCTGAATGAGCAGGTGGTGGAGCATCGGTGAGTCCCTGGCGCTGGCTCAGGTGTCTCTTACACCCCTCCAGCCTCCATCCCCAGGGGCACCCTCCTGGCCTGTAAGCGGCTGAGCCGCTGACTCTGAGGACTGCCCCAGGGTCATGAGGACAGACCAGCTCTGTGATGAAGGTCTGAGACACACAGGGGCTTGGGAGGGTGGGCATGTGTAGGGGGCAGGCAGGAGCTGCTTCCATGCCACCCTTGGGCACCCATATCCTCACCCCTTCCTTCTGGTGCCCCAGCCTCCTGCCTATCTTCCCTGCTACCCCCCACCCCAGGCAGCTGTGACAGCCAAGGGGAGCTTCAAGCCACTTTGGTGGGAAGGGGCAGAGGGGGGCTTGGAGGCAGCTGCCACCACCTTTCTTTTTTGAAGGTGGGGTCTCAGCTTGCTCTCCGGGGCTGGTAGAGGGGCCAAAGCTGATGGTAGGGGCCTGCCCTGGCCGGAACTTCCCATCTGTGTCACCTTCTCTGTGGTGTCTCGATGGAGGATCCCACCCACAGGACCTAGGGGTGACCAGAGGACTCTGGCCAGTGGCAGGGGCCTGGTGTGCACTGAGGTCTGAGGTCAGCTCCGTGCTGGTGCGTGCAGAGCCATGCTGTCAGGAACCCGGGCTTGGAGCTGGCGCTGACCGGGGCTGACTCCAGCCCTTCTCCACCTTTGGCAACAGTGAGGCAGGGGCAGCCCAGCAGACACGGGATAAGGCAGGCATGGCTTCCAGTGTCCTGAGGTTGGGCTGCCTGGGGCACAGCTCAAGAGGAAGCCAGGGCCTGTGCCTGGTGCCTGTGACAGAGCAGCCCTCACATCCTTATGGTCACACCATTGGCCCTGTCACCCTGCAGGCTCCTATGCAGAGAGAGCAGACCTGGGGCCAGCAGGTGTTAGGGACTCTGTTTACACAGTCTTGGGTGTGTGAACCTAGGGTGAGGACAGGGAGGGAGGGAGTTTGAGGCTGAGAAATGGACGGAGGTGGTCAGGAAGGAGAGGACAGAGTCAGGGATGAAGAGGGGCAGAGACCAGGCAGGGAAGCCGTTGGGGAGTGCCCAGGAGGGCTAGTGGGCCTTGGGAGTGGAGCAGTGCCCAAAGCAGAGAGCAGGACTGCTGGGCAGAGACACAGCAGCACTGGCGGAAGAACATAGTGTCTCCTGAGCACGGGCCATCCTCCTGGATAAAGCAAGGCAGAGCTCACCGCTCCCTGCTGCTGCTTGGGCGCTGCCACTGTAGCAGGATATTTTAAGGAATTAGAGAGACCGAGGGGTTGAGGAAGATATTTATTATTTAGGTGCAACGGCCCCATCGGATTAATAGCCAAAGGACTGAGCCCTGAACAAAGAGTTAAGTTACTTTTTAAGCATTTCATGGGGTGGGGAGAGATCTCTGCAGGGTGAAGCATGTTACAGAAGCGAGAAACAAAGACAGTTATTCAATTAATTGAGACATGCATTACATCATTTCTTACTTTTCAAGGAAAAACATGTTTTACGACTTGAGTTTATCTGTCTGTGACCTTGCAACTGCACAGCTAGAGAAACAGGGTCTTCCCAATGCCTGGGAAAGGGAGAGAGAAGGCTCACCAGCCACAGACAAACAGGCAGTTAAGTTTTAAAGGACTCCAGTTCTTTCTTTTCCTCAGGGAATTGGGTTTTCTTACATGCAACTGAGTTTCTGTTTACACGTTCTTTTTTTTTTTTTTTTTTTTTTTTTGAGATGGAATCTTTCTCTGTCGCCCAGGCTGGAGTACAGTGGTGCGATCTCGGCTCACTGCAACCTCTGCCTCCCAGGTTCAAGCAATTCTCCTGCCTCAGTCTCCTGAGTAGCTGGGATTACAGGCACATGCCACCACGCCCAGCTAATTTTTTTGTATTTTTAGTAGAGATGGGGTTTCACCATATTGGTCAGGCTGGTCTTGAACTTCTGACCTCAAGTGATCCACCCACCTTGGCCTCCCAAAGTGCTGGGATTACAGGCATAAGCCACCACGCCTGGACTACACATTCTTTAATTTCTTTTAATTCCTGTTCTACCACGTCCTGGTCGCCCTTGCCCTGGGCTCCCTGTGGAGGCAGGAACAGCCCCATCATCTCAGCCACCAGAATCCGGTCCCAGGGGTCTAAAGGGTACCACTCAGTACCCAGAGGCAAAAGGGGGCATGGCCAGAAAGAGCGTCTCAGGGCCCCTCTACCTCCCCCACACCCCACACCCAGGGACCCCAAACGGCCAGGCTGCTGTACCCTCACTCCCCTGGGACATCACACCACAAGCCAGGGCTGCCCGGCCCCACCCTTGCCCAAGGCTCCTTCCTGGGCAAGGATGCAACCAGCTGGCTCCAGATGCAGGGCTGCCAGGCACCCTAAGATGAGGGACAGGGGCCCAGTTCCTAGGAGGACTGGATCACAGAGTTGGGAGACTGGCCACTGAGAAGGGGCATGTGCTGCTGGGTGGAGTTGAGTGGGCACCGTCACTGCAGAAGGTGGCCCACACCTGCCTCCGGTCCATTTGTGTCCTGTCTGTCCCCATGCCGGCAGCTGCAGCCCAAGCCTTGTGGTGTCACCAGTGCACGGGCTTCGGAGGGTGCTCCCGTGGATCCAGATGCCCGAGGGATTCCACCCACTGCGTCACTACTGCCACCCGTGAGTGAGGGGGCCAGCGGTGGGCTGGCCATGCCCTTCTTGCCCAGGTGGGAAGATGTGGGCTCAGAGGGGGACAGAGCCTGATCCAGGCACCCAGTAAGTCAGAAGCATAGGGGAGAGTGTCCACCAGCGATGCCAGGGAAGGGTATGAGCAAAGGGCCACGTCTGCCCCCAGGAGTGCCCGCATGCTTCATGTACCTGGGGTGTCTGACCCTCAGCTCAGTGGCAGATGGGGCAGCACGGTCTGGGCAAACAGAGGCTCAGGGAGCTCCATGGTTTCTCTCCTGCCCACTCAGGGGTCCTCAGCAACATCGAGAACTTGCCTCTGGTCACCAAGATGTGCCACACGGGCTGCCCCGATATCCCCAGCCTGGGCCTGGGCCCCTACGTATCCATTGCTTGCTGCCAGACCAGCCTCTGCAACCATGACTGATGACTGCCCTCCCCCAGGCCCCCGGACACTCAGCCCCCACAGCCCTCACGGCCTGGCGCCAGGGCTCACGGCCGCCCCTCCCTCGAGCCTGGCCGGCCCACATCTCCCGGCCTCTGCAGCCACCATCCAGCATCACTTGTCCTTGGGAAGTCCTGTGTGGAGTCTTGTCTAAATCTGCTGCTGTCCAAGCCTGGGGCCCATCGTGCCTGCCACCCCTTCAGTTCCCAACCTCCCCCAAATAAAATATGATTGGATCATGTGGCACAAGCTATCCAGTGGGAGTGGAGCCCCGCCATCCTGGGCTTGGGGGTAGAGGGGAGTAGATTTGGGAGTGCCTCGCTACCTCACCCCAGGCTAAACCCTACTACCCCACCCCCACCTGCCCTTATCACGGAACAGGCCCTCCCACCTCCAGCCACTGTCAGGCCTGAAGGGCACAGGGGCCCAGGCCCCCCAGGCAGTTGCTGTTCCTGAAGTAGCCAGAGTGGGAGTTGGGGCTGGGGCACACGAGGAGACTCCCACCCCAGAGCGGGAGTTGGGAAGCCTCAGAGAAAGGACATCCCGGCTGAGACACGGAGGCTGTGCGGGGTGGAGGAAGGGAGGAGGGGCCCTTGGCAAAGACGGCTGCCGCAGGCTTTCTGGAATAGGGAGAGAGGTGAGGCAGGCTGTAGCTTCCTCACCCTCGCCTTCATACACACCCCTGGGCCAGTGGCCCGGCCTGCCCCTCTCTAGGAAACCCCCAGTTCTGGTAGGGAACACTACCTCCAGCTCCTCTGGGCCACTGGGTACCCAGCATGCAGGGCAGGGCGCTGGGGAGAGATGCTGGGAGTGGGATGAATCAGACTGAGGTGATGGGCAGCTGTGGCCGCCCATCTCGGGTGGACGTGGGAAACTAGGTGAGCGATGTTTGTGGAAGTTGATCACTCGCTAGGCAAACATGGCGTCATGGCTGAGCTTCGGGCTGCAAGGTTGAATGAGACCCCCACATAAGCCTGGCACTCCCCTCGGAGAGGCTGAGGCGAGTCCACATCTGCAGGTCCCCCCCACTGAGTTAGCACCTGCCGAGAAAAACACTGTCGGTCCCTTTCCTCGGCCTTTCTTGTTCTCACCTTCGCAAAGTTCTGGTGAAGAATCAGCTCAGGAGAAAGCTGATGCAATTGTCAAGCTGCTCCACAAGGAGGGGGTGTCCCAGGCAGGGCCTCCGGACATTCAGGTGCCAGGACAACTTTCAGAGTAGCCCCAGGCACAGAAGGAGATGCAAACGGGGTGCGCTGGAGATACCCAGATAAGCTCAAGAATTGAGGTGACAATGGAGTGTTTCTCAGATCTGCGGGGGAGGGACAGGGCACCCCACAGCCACCGTGGAGCACTGCAGCGTGGAGCACTGCTGCGAGAACAGGGTAAGGCTGGATCCTCACCTCTCTTGTTATAGACAAAGGCATTCCAACTGAATCAGAGGTTTCGATATAAAAAGAAGAGGTTTTTAAATGCTAGACAATTCAGAATAGAAAAGCAAGACACATTCCTGAAGGGACTGGACACAGAGTTGCTGTAAACACAGTAATTCCACTCCTGGGCCAAATTCCACCCCCAGACGTGGCCCAAGAGGAGTAAACAGGCGTCCACACAAAAGCCTGTGCACAAACATTCGCAGCGGCGTTATTCACAGCAGGCAAAAGGCAGGAAAAACCCAAATGCCCATCAACTGATGGACGGATCCACAGAGATGACAGACCCGTACCAGGGGATGTTATTCAGCCACATAAAGGAATGAAGCCCTGACTCACGTCAAAACACGGGGAGCCTTGAAAATACGGGGGAGCCTTGAAAACAAACACGACGCTGAGTGAGACAGCAGCCGTGCACAACAGGCCAAGCAGTGTACAATTCTATTTCTCAGAAGTAGCCAGAATAGGGAGCTCTATAGAGAGGAAAGGAGATGAGTGGTTACCAGAGGATGGCAGGGATTATTAAGAAATAGGGAAAGGCCGGGCACGGTGGCTCACGCCTGTAATCCCAGCACTTTGGGAGGCCAAGGAGGGTGGATCACCTGAGGTCAGGAGTTTGAGACCAGCCTGGGCAACATGGTGAGACCCCGTTTCTACTAAAAATACAAAAATTAGCCAGGTGTGGTGGCACATCCCTGTAATCCCAGCTACTTGGGAGGCTGAGGCACGAGAATCACTTGAACCAGGGAGGCGGAGGTTGCAGTGAGCTAAGATCATGCCACTGCACTCCAGCCTGGGCAACAGAGCGAGACTCCATCTTAAAAAACAAACAAAAGGAAATAGGGAAAAGCCAGAGTACTTTTCCTGCTCTCACACAATACAGTACTTCACCCCGTCACCAAAGTGTGTGTGTATTTCTCTCCACCAGCAACCAAGCCACACTGCAGTGGACACCGTCTGGGTGTCCTCCATTCAATTCCGATGCCATTCCCATGGAGGTCGCGTCAGATCCCGCAGGTGGAGGGCTCAGTCCCACGTGATGAGCCCCGCTTCCGATGCCAGTCACAAGCCCCAGGTGTGGCCTGTGCTTCTGACCGACCTGCCATGAATCAGGGTTCCCACGACCCCCTCCTCGGGTTTGATGACTTGCTGGAGCAGCTCACAGGACTCAGGGACGCACTGACCAGCATTTACCCATTTATGACACAGGCTGTGACGAAGGTGCGGATGCACAGCAGGTGGAAGAGACACGCGGGGCAGGCACGGGGAGGGGCGCGGAGCTCTCAGGCCCTCCCAGGGGCACCCCCAGGCACCTGCGCACGCTCTGCTGTCGGAAGCTCCCTGAACCCTGTCCTTTTGGGGAATTACGGAGGCTTCATTACGTAGGCATGATGGATTAAACTACCGGCCACTGATGAACCCAACCTGCCGCCCCCTCCTCTCCCCTGAAGGCTGGGGGTGGGGCTGAAGTCCCAGCTCTCTAATCCTGTGGGTCCCCATCCTGAAGCTCCCTGGGGACCCCCAGTCACCAGTCCTCTCATTAGCGTACAAAAGATGCCCTTGCCACTCCAGGGATTCCAAGGGTTTTAAGAGCTGTATGTCAGGAAACCAAAATATCCATTTCACAATCTCACAAAATAAGCATCTCACGTTCTCACAGGAATGAACCAACGAGAGTGCTAAAACGTTCAGGGTTTATTTTCAAGATGATGAAAATGTGCTAAAACTGTGAATACACTAAAAACCACTGAATTACACACTTTAAATGGGTGGATTGTGTAGTATGTGAAGTATATTCAATAAAGCTGTTAAAAAAAATTTTAAAGAAAAGACACAAAACCAGAATTGGGATTCATAAATACTATCTAAAAATCTAAAATAAAATAAAATAAAACAAAATAAACAAACTGAAAGACAAGAAAAACAAGGAAATATTTGCCACACATGTAACATACGATGATTCCCTCCACACATAATGTCCACGAAAAGAGTCAAACTGTAAAATATGTGAAGACATTTATTCTGAGCCAGATATGAAGGGCCATAGCCCATGACACAGCCCTCAGGAGACCTGAGAACATGTGCTCAAGGTGGCTGAACATGGGGCACAGTCTAGTTTTAGGGAGACTGAAGACATCAATAAAATACATGGAAGAGGTACATTGGCTCCATCCGGAAAGGCGGGACAACTCCGGGGGATGAGGCTGGGGCAGGGTGGGGCGGGGGTGGCGCGGGAGGCGGGATTCCAGGATTTAGGCAGATTTAAAAATTTTCTGATTGGCAATTGGTTGAAAGAGTTAAGATTATCTAAAGACCTGGAATCAATAGAAAGGAATGTGTGGATTATAAGGGGTGTGGAGACCAGGGTTTTATCATCAGATGAAGCCTCCAGGTAGCAGGCTTCCGAGCCAATAGATGGTAAATGTTTCTCATCAGACTGCAGGTCTGTGTGGATGTTAACACTGGTCAGCTTTCCCTGAATTCCAAGAGGGAGGAGGGATGATGAGGCTGTCCAACCCTTTCCCATCATGGTCCAAACCAGTTTTTCAGGTTCACTTCGGAATACCCTAGCCGAGAAGAGGGTCCATTCAGATGGTTGGGGGCGGGGGCTTAGAATTTTATTTTTGGTTTACGGTAAATAATCCTTCCAGATCCCCAAAGAGCAACAGATATGAGCAGCCTGTTCAGAGAAAAAGCCATTCAAGTGGCCAAGCCAAGGAGAAGAAATTCAACCGTACTTAGAATCAGAGAGGTGCCAAGCAGTATCGTAAACCCCCAGGCAGGAGAGCGACCCGGCCACGTGGTGAGAAAGGACACCGACCAGCCTCTGTGCTGTCACAGATGCAGCCCTTGCAGGACAAATCAGCCCTGTCCAGGGAACTTCAAAATGCCACTAGCACTTTGTTGAATGCTGGCTCCCTAAAATGTCAGCAAAAACCCAAGGACAGGTCACCCCAGCTCCCTCCAGCACTCCTGGGATTTGAGTCTGATTTGAGGTAGGTCTTCCTAGGTGGGGGTTCAGTTAGGGTTGGGCCAGGACTCGGAAAAAGTAGTTTAGAATTTTGAGGCCATGGGTTCTGAGTCTGGAGGTGTCCCCCAACGGTTTCTATTGAAGAGTCAATAGGCCTTTTGGGAAGATCTTCAATAAATGATAGCTATTTGCTGCTTTATCTTCCTAGAAGCGTGAAGCTCAGGAATGAAGACGCAGGGTGGAAAGTCGTGGTCTAGGCCTGGCACGATGTCTCACTCCTGTAATCCCAGCACTTTGGGAGGCCAAGGTGGGCAGATCACTTGAGGTCATGAGTTCAAGACCAGCCTGGCCAACATGGTGAAACTCCATCTCTACTAAAAAACACGAAAATTAGCCAGGCGTGCTGGCATGCGCCTATAATCCCAGCTGCTCAGGAGGCTGAGGCAGGAGAATCACTTGAACCCAGGAGGGGGAGGTTGCAATGAGCCGAGATAGCACCATTGTACTCCAGCCTGAGTGACAGAAGGAGACTCTGTCAAAAAAAAGGGAAGGGGAGGGGAGGAGATGGGAGGGGATCGTGGTCCCATGAACAGTGAGCCCTGTGGGTGGAGTTGGCTCCGGTTCTCAGTGTGAACAAGCCCCACTGCTCCCCACTGCTCCTAACAGGGTAGGGGGCAAAGAACGTGCACAGACAGATGTTCCCTGCAGTTTTCCCATCATGAAGCTGCAGGTGAGCTAACCTGTGTGCATGCAGAGGGTGGCACTGGAGGGCACATCCCTTCTGGAAGGACACAGGATACCTCCTTCCAACGTACAGCCCTTGGTGCTATTTGTGCCTCCACTTCCTTTTCA